CCCCCCCTGCAGCACTGCGTCCAGCTCTGGGGTCCCCAGCACAAGACAGACATGGACCTGGTACAGCGGGTCCAGAGGAGGCCACCAAAATGGTCCGAGGGCTGGGACACCTCTGCTATGGAGAAAGGCTGAGAGAGTTGGGGTTGTGCAGCCTGGAGAAGAGAAGGCTCTGGGGAGACCTTACTGCGGCCGCTCAGCACTTAAAGGGGGCTCATAGGAAAGAGGGAGAGAGACTTTTGACCAGGGCCTGCAGCGACAGGACAAGGGGCAATGGTTTTAAACTGAACGAGGGTGGGGTTAGCCTGGACACAAGAAAGAAATGTTTTATGATGAGGGTGGTGAGACGCTGGCACAGGTTGCCCAGAGAAGCTGGATGCTCCATCCCTGGAAGTGTTCAAGGTCAGGTTGGACGGGGCTTTGGGCAACCTGATCTAGTGGCAGATGTCCCTGCCCCTGGCAGGGGGGTTTGGACTGGATGACCTTTGAAGGTCCCTTCCAACCCAAAGCACTCTGTGAGTTCATGATTCTGTGATAAGAGTACCCCTAAAGCCCTGAAAAGCTGTTGCTTTGCAGCAAGAGAACAACCTGACCCCTGTCTGTATCCCCATGTGAGCTCATAGCTGCAGGTGAGGGGTGAGCTCTCCCATCTGAGCTCACAGGTATAAGGAGCTGCATAATGCCAATGTCCCCTTGGGTCAATCACCCTCCCCACCTTCCCCAGCTCCGGGAAGGGTCCATAGCCCATTTCCAGCCACCGTTACGTGTTTTAGCATGACAGAGCTTCACTCCCACCAAGGGCGACCCGCAACACCCCCTTGCCAGCCCTTCCCGCGTGGTTCAGTGGACAGGAGGGGAGCATGCTGCAGGGAATGGCTGCTGCCTACAGCCATGGAGGGTGAGGAGCTCAGAGTGGTGTGAGGGCAGCCGGCACCGGCAGAGCTGCTGCTCCAGCCCCACTCAGTGGGCATAGCCAAGTCCCATGTCCCATTGCTGGCGGTTCTTCACGTTATGCAAGTGCCATCGGTCAGAGTGAAGCTCCCAGCTGCAGGGTGCTTTTTTCTGTGCCTTTATAAACAACCCAGCTGCTCCCAAGAACAAGACGAGGGAAATGCATCCCTTTTTTTAATTGCAAGCAAAACTACCTCCAAACGAACCCTTCCACAACCCCAAGAGCAGTCCAAAGGCTTTTACGTTCTGGCAACCTGATCTATTGGAAGATGTCCCTGTCCGTGGCAGTGGGGGGGTTGGACTGGATGATCTTTGAAGGTCCCTTCCAACCCAAACCGATCTGTGAGTCCCTGATCCTATGAAACTCAATTTCTGGCATATTGGGGAAAGGGTTCATTCAAGAGATACAAGCATTTGGATGGAAGATGCACGTGATGCTCTGTCCTGACCTTCCTGGAACATCTTCAGGGCTGTTTGCTGTGCTCAGCCTGGCAGCTACATCACACAGCAGGTCAGGCCCCAGTGTGGGTGCTCACGTGGGGGTGAGCTTCCCCCTCAGGGGCAGCAGCCAGCACTGGGGGGGTCAGTGTGTTCAGCTGGACAGGTGTAATTCAAAGGTTTTCTGGCACGTTTCCTGGAGAACAGAAAGCAGCCTAATAAGATGAGGGTGCTCTGTGTGTGGGGGCTGACAGCTCCGCCACACCATCTGCCCTGGGCTGGCAGCTCTGCAGGCAGCCTCTCGATTTAGGGCAGGCAGTCATCCCCTGCGTCCCGTGGGGCTAGTGCTCGGGGGAGCCCTCCCGTGTGGGAAGGAAAAGCGGGACCGTGCTTCTGGAGCGGGGACAATCCTGGACATCCCCTGCCCCCCTGGGCTGCCCCGCCAGCTGTGCCCACGCTCCCAGCAAGGGAGGAGGTTTGATGGCTCAGGGTGCGGCATCCCCCTGGGGCCTTCCTGCCCAGCTCCAGCACTGCAAAGTGACCACTGCGGGTCCATCCTGCACCCGTGCCAGGTCCGGCACATCGTGGCAGCATGGCAGAGGCAGGCAGGGCTTGGTGCAGGGCACTGTTGTGGCCTCAGCTCTGGGCTGCTTGGGCACAAGCTGTGGTGTGATGCAGGAGGGTGCTGCCAGTCATGACCCACAGGTCTGCTGCCACCCCAGGGTGTCCTCTGGGGGCTGAAGGCTATGCTTGGGCTGGGCTTGGGTGAGGGGTGCGCGTGGATCACCCCATGGGGGCCGTGTCTCCTGCTGTCACCTGCTCCCCTTGCACTTCATCACACTCCTCAGAGCAGCTTTTGGGCTAGAAACGCTTTTTGGGCTGCTAGAGGTGCAGGGGGTGCTCAGGGCTGAGCCTTCCCCCAACTCGGGGGTGGCAGGTCTCTCCCTCCCGCGGGACCCTCACCCCCGCTCTCTCTTCTCCCCTCTGCAGCACTCAACACTGTCGCGCAAGTTTGTGGAGGTGATGTCCGAGTACAACGCCACGCAGACCGACTACCGGGAGCGCTGCAAGGGCAGGATTCAGAGGCAGCTGGAGATCAGTGAGTAAACCCGGAGAGGGAACGCAGCTGGGCTGTGCGCGCCGTGGGGCCGCATCCTGCACCGGCTCTCGCCAGATCAGAGCTGCTCCCGCAGCTGTGCAGAGCTCCCTCGTGAAAATCTGGGGGTGCACGGGGGCTGTGCACACACCTGTGGGAGCAATCGGGACACGGCTCCTGCTGGGGGATAGACAAGTGGTGGTACCTTGCATTTCGGTGTCAAACTGCATCCAGCAAAGCACAAAAACTTCCCTCAGGTTTTCTTAAATGCTGCGTAGAGAGCGCAGGGAGCAGAGAGAGAGAAGTTTCTTCCTTGTTTGCAGCTAATTTTGAGTTCAAAGAAGCTAGTGGGAATTCCTGACTCCCGTGTGTTGCCTTGCCTTTCCACTGGGCGCTTTTCATTGTGGGAGAACTGAACTAAATACAAAACCAGAGAAGTGAGCTCTTGAGATGGGGGCACTCGCTGCTCCCAGCGGTTTCCCTTGCCACAGGAGGAGCACAAGCCTCAGTGCCTGCCCCAGGCATCTCCCTGGACCCAGGACTGTGATGGCTCTTAGCAGCAGTAGTGGTGTCTTCTGGCCAAAGGTGGGCCCCAGGTGACACCTCTGAGGCTGTCACCACTGTGGCACTAAGATCCCCCTGCATCATCCAGAGCCCATCACTTAGGAGAAGTCTGGTCCTGCCTGTCCACAAAACCTGCTCTCCTGGTGGTTCTTCTGGGAAATCGGTGATACCTGGGTAGTTTTAGAGAAACATGGTCATCTCCCAGCAAAGAAGAACCATACCACCACTGTAATTAGGGGAATAAGCAAGCAAGGGAGAAGTCAGGGCAAGCAGAGATTAAAAGAGATTTTTGCAAATAATCTCATAGTCAGAGAGGTGTCATGGGTTTTTGTGCTCAAAAGGAAAGAGTCTGAAGCCTAGTCCAGTTTTTTTTTCTCACAAACAAATGGGTGTTCTTCCCTTTCACAACTCAGGGTGAATAATAAGGTAGGAGATCTTTCAGTCAGAATGGTGTCCTGTGGGAATGTCCTTCATGAGCTGCAGATGCCTGGGAATCTGGGTGCTAGTGGGGTATGGCAGTTTCTGTGGAGGGCTGGAAGGAGACTTGGCTGTGCAAGCCTTTCCTCTGTTAATATTAGTCTTTATGATGTATAATAATAATAGAAATGTTTCACACTGGCTGAATGGAAAGGTTGACTGACATGAGACTCAACAAGAGCTTGACGTTTAATGTAAAGCAGGATGATGAGTGTGTCACTACTCCAGCTGACTCATTTGTCAGCTAATGTCATTCTGTAGGTGATACCCAGCCACAGGGGTGGCTTGTAATGTAAACAGGAATTTAAGGTATCCCTATGCCTCCCTTCTAAGAGAGGAGAATATTTGAAAGGACTTAGCCAGGTCCTTAATTGTCTGCAGACCTGAAAGAAACCTTCCTCTTGTTTTTCTACTCCCAGATTTTGGAAGGACTCTGCCACATTGCTTAAATTATGTAGATACATTAAATTATACTTGTCTTTGCTCTGTCCATCCTGCCGGCCTGTCAGTGCCCGACAGAGCATTGATGGGGCACAAGGAAAACGCTGCTCAGGATTCACTGTGGCGCAGTGGTTGGGTGCAGAGGAGGTGTCCTAGTTAATGACGGTGAGGGACCTGCTTTCCCTTTGGGGTGGAGGTGTGGAGCAGATGCAGATGCAGGATGGGGTCTGTGCTGGGAAGGTACACAATCCCGTGCATAGTCCTTTCCAAAAGCTGGGTTCCTCTGTCAGGACAGTGGAAAAATCTCTTCTGGCAAAAAGGCTCATCAAAAGCAACAAGCTTATTGAGGTTTTATCAGGAGTGCTTCCTGGGCAGAGGGCTCTGCTTGTCCTGGGGTGTCCCAGCCAGCACTTTCAGTCCCTGCTGCTCCAGGGGCTCTTGAACAGGCTCTTTTGAACGGAGCTCAGCTGGGATGTGGTGACTGCACAAAGCTCTACAAAAGCCTCAGCTCTCGTTTTCAGCTGATGAATCCAAAGATAGAAAGTGCCAGGAGCTCTGACAGCGAAGCCAGTAAATCATTCGGGTTTTGAAAGTATGAGAGCAGGGACTTCTCAGCTGCTCTGGGGAGGCTACTCAGCACCTGGCGAGCTTCTCCGTCCTAACCGTGTCTGCTTCTTGCTCTGGAAGTGGGACAGTTGCAGAAGAAATGGTGATGTAGATTCACTGCCCTGGGCCATAGCCATCCCCTGTGGCTCTCCACAGCCCTCTCAGGATCTGCTCCTTCTCTTTGTGTAGGCTCTGCCGTGTCTGTGTGTGCCAGAGGTTGTGCCTCAGTGACCCTCACTGTCACCCCTGCCCGTCCGGCACACGCTGAGCCCGGGAGCCTGTCTGATGTGATGAAGTGGATGTCCTCTCCTCTCCCACTGCTTCTGCCCCAGCCTTAATCATTGCCCTCACCCCCCCCCGCTACTCACTCGCTCTGCTCCCAAACACACCAAGACCGCAGATACCATGGAGGGATCGCAGGATGCGCTGTGTCCTGGGGTTGATCACGGCAGGACAGATGCTCGGTGGCTGTCCTCTGGCTGGACTGTGCCTCCCCCCAACGGTGTCCCTGTGCATGCTGCTGGCAGCCGTGCTCCCCAGGCACAAGCCTCCGTGCTGCCTGCAGTGGGAGGTGTCGCTCCTTCATTTTTTTCCTCTCTGTTTTGTCCGTTATGAGAAATGACATCTTAAATCTAATTAGGTTTTGCTCCCAGAGAAACTGGATTTGAGGATTGGATTTGAGGAAACTGGATTGGAGGAGCTTTCTGTGGTGGGTGTGCAGCTTTGAAGCCATGGAGGTGCTGCACAGACGCTGCTTGTTTTATGAACAGTTTTGTTACGTGCAAGACCGAGGAGCCAAAAATAAAGCACCTGCCATCTCCAAAGGCACTGCGAGAATTAATCAGCCCCCGCCCCACTGTGCAAGACCAGGTTAATTGATGTGCAGAAAGGCAAGCTGCGGATGCATTCCAAGCTCCCCTTGAGCCAGGAGAGTCTGGGGGCTGCTCCGGCCCTGGCGGCTCCTCCGGGCAGCCCTGGGTAGTCCCAGAGCCCCCAGTGCGGAGACGGGCTTATTTAGGACTCCTGTGACACTTTCATCTCAGGAATGACCACGGGATTTATCTGATCTAAATATGTCTCATTGGGTGAAAATGCCTGCACAGCGCTGGAAGTTGGCCCTTGCAGCCCCCCCCGTCTGAGCAGAAGGGGTCCTCTGGGGACAGGGAGGCGGGTGGCAGTTTGTGACGTGCTGGGCAGGCTTTTATAGCTGAAGTCTGCTCATCCCGACACCACCGCAGGCAGTGCTAGACCTGTCTGAGCTGGGGGACAGCCAAATGGGTTGGGTCACTCATACCCATTACCTCTACAGGCACGGGTGGACGGGGCAGCGTTATCCATCTCTCCATGAGTTGTATGGATTTGTATCTAATGAGAGCTTGAAAGCCAGATCCAAACAGAGGATCCCAGCTTTGGGAAGGTGCGTTGTCCTCGGTGTTTCCAACCTGAGCCCTAGCTGTTGCTCTGTGGGTGCTTGTGCAGCCCTGCCGCTGGGAGGAGGGATGCTGCGAGCCGAAGGAGCACAGCTGAGCCGTTACAGTTAATTCAGCCATGGCATGTTTGACTTTTGCAGCCCCGAGGTGCCTGAAGTCTTCCCTATTTATAGAGCGTCTGGCATGCAGAATTGGGCAAACTGGCGTTCGGTGTCAGCTGTGTGATAGGTTTGAGCTGTGGCACCGGAGGCTTCCCTGGGAGCTTCCCCAGGGTCCTGCGTGCCCTGATGGAGCTGCTCCTGCCTCATCCCCTGGGAGCTGGTCGATGGGGACGGTCACTCCATCCAGCTGGGCATTGCAGGGCCAAGGACTGTGCAGTGGCCTTGAGGTGGAAAGTCTCCTCGGTGGCTTCATGTCTCTGCCTGTCCCAGAGCTTCTGATGGCCCTGCTGCACTATGACCTGTGCATCATCTCTTGCCATTCTCTCCTTGCCAGCTCAGGGCTGAGTTTGCTTCTCCCTCTGTGCTGCAGCTCCCAACGATGCTCTGTGCTGCTTTGCTCATTGGCAGAGCTTCTTCTCCCCAGGAAACTTTAATTTCTAGAGATGCCAAGTAAGAGGCAAATGTACTCTGGAGCTCTCTGGGAGACAGAGGTCCAGTTCTCATGATTTTCCAGTGTTTTGCCAAGTTTCAGGGCAGGGGTTTTCCCCCAGGCTCTTCTCCCTTTGTGGGCACCTTGCTTTCACTCAGTCCTTTCATTCGCATTTGTGGCTGTGCAGTAGCTCTGTGGTGATGTGGGCAGCAGATCAACCAAGTATCTAGCACACTTTCATCAGATTTTATTGCTGTTGAGGAGCTAATGACAGCCTTTCCAAACCAGGAAACCTAGCCAGAAGGCGGTGGACTCCCTGGGAAGTCCTCTGGGGTCCTGCAGGTTGGTTATATGGCTTTGGCAAGTGTTGTGCTGGATGGCGTGGGCAAGATGCAGCCTCCAGACCTCGTGCTTTGGCTCAGCATTAAAGCAAGCTCTTCCTGACCAGCTATGGCCTTTGGCCAAGCCTGCACTGGTTGGCCAGTTGTTAATCCATGTGATGTCTTTGCTCTCATCCTTCGCCTTGCCGCAGCTTTTACCGGCCCTGTGCTCTGCAACAGGGGAATGGGGCAGCGAGGAGGTGGTGAGAGCCGGGATGAGAATGTGTATCCTGCATCCCATCCCACCTCTGCCTGGAAGAGACGTGGCATCTCCTGGAGCTGATCCCACTGTTTGCCCTCGGGGCTGTCTCTAGGGCTTGAATGGGGCAGAGCAAGTAGCCCTTGATGCACTGCGCCTGGCACGCTCCTCCTTGTCACTGTGCCAGTGACTGCTTGGAGTTGAGCACAGTCAACAGGAGGGTGTGTAAATTTGTGCTGTTCAAGCCCTTGTTCTCCCTTCCTGGAACCAGGGCAGTTTCAGCTGAGAGCGAGGAGCCAACAGGCAGGAAGAGCT